TCAAAGGCCTCCATTCTTTGGCGCTCAACCTTTCCTATGGTCCAACTTTCACAGCCATACTTTGCAACTGGAAAAACCATAGCCTTGACTATGCACATTTTTGTTGGCAAGGTGATGTCTCTTCCAGTGCACTGCCGCCACGCTCCGAGTATAACTTCCAAACTCCAAAACTCAGCTGCCAAGTCTTCCAGCATCGGCCGCTGTAGGAGTGCTCTCTATGGTGGGCCGGCTGCTGGAAGACTCTCTGTCCAGCAGCCCACCCACCATAGAGAGCACTCCTACAGCGGCCGATGCTGGAAGACTCGGCAGCCGAGTTTTGGAGTTTGGAAGTTATGCTCGGAGCGTGGCGGCCATGGTGCCCTGGGAGAGCTGCGCAAGGGCTTGGTGAGGCTGGGAGGCATGCTTGCTGGAGGCGGAACAGACACTTGCACAACCCCCCTCTCCAGCCGGGCAGAGCTCCATACACTGACCTAGGAGGTATCCCGAATGTGCCAAGCTGTGGGGGCTGGGGGGTGGGTGGGCAGAGCGCCACGTGGGCTTGGCACCTTAGTGATACCCCCTAGGTCAGTAAATGGTGCTCTGCCCGGCTGGAGAGGGGATTTGCCAGGCGGCTGCTCGTGAGCATGGTTACCTCATGGCTGCTTCACCCCTATGGCTGTGCCCGGCTCTTCGGGAGTCTGCTCACAAGGGAACAGCCGCCCACCAATCCCAAAACAATAAGCCCTCCCTGATAATAAGCCCAAGGCCATATTTCGTGGGGCAAAAGAAAATAAGACCCTGTCGTATTTTCGGGGAAACACGGTAAAAATAGTAGAATCAGTAGAATTAGTTTAACTTGCTATTTTGCTTCTGTAGGAATTGCTTTCCTAAGGATTGGAATTGCCTTTGCCATTTGCTTCTACCAGTGATCCAACTTCTGTTATCTTGTTTTATTGTACAACTCGGTGCCTGGTGTATTTCAAGAAGCGGGATATGTCAAGGCTTTGCAAGGTTATGTTGGGATAATACCTGTGTTGCTAAGCACCAAGCCCCTCTCTTCCTTGCTGCATGGCCAATGCAGGGCTACAAGGAAGGCATGGGCTAGGAGAATTGGGTAATAAGCTGATGTCTCTGAAGGTATAAAAGGACACCATACTTTTCCCAAAGTGTGGCCTTTCACCGCATGCTCTTTGTCTGTATGTAATGGAATGGTCTACCCAGCTCTTCTTTGTACAAATAAAAGACTCTTCTTGGGTCTCACTCTGGCATTCTAGTGACTCAAGTACATTTTGGGACCTTATAAAATAATCAATTGCTGCTTTACAATAAGTTGTCAATTTACAATCATTTGTTCAGTGAGCATTCGAACGTACAACAGCACTGAAAAAGATGAATTATGAATTTTTTCAAACAACCGTTGCAGCATCCCTGTGTCATGTGATCCAAAT